TCCAGCGAGACGGGACATCAACGGGATACTGAGATGCTTAATGGATGCGGACGTACCATGGTCCCTGTAATGAGGTTGCTGTGGTGCACATACCGTAGTCAAGCGTGAGTGCTGTCAACAATGATGCCCCATACTCCCGCGAGATAGGATAGCAGTATATCTCTACGGAGCGAAAGCAACTTCACCCCGTCTTGAGTTGGTTTGCACTGCATGAAGAGATACCAGTCCATACATGAAGAGTAGTGTTGGAAGGAGACCGTACTCGCTCTACGGGGTGCTATATCTTCATGCAATACATCAGAACGCCCTACGCGCGACTCGTCAAGCATGCTGAAATTAAAACATCGGCATCGTCGCGCCTGGTAGCTCTGTGGCTCACTGAAATGAGATGACGATATTGTCAAAGCGGGAAGGTGCTACAGTCTACATACGATGAACACCCATCATCCCTGTAAGCCCGCCGTGAGATGTTCCAGGAAGTGCCATCTCAACCCTATATCAGGGTTCGTCCGCGCGGCGTGACGCGTCCGCCGTCCGTCCTGGCTTGCCTCCGACCTTGACCTCTTGTCCCATGGTAATCCGCCTGATCTAGCACTCAAGAGCTCCTACTATCCTTGTGGACCTCTGAAGATGATGACGATATATTACTGAGCACCACCGCGGGCGCCGCGTTACACCCGGCCGACATCGAAGCACTGCAGTGCCGATCGTGACTGGAACTTCGCCACGACGCGGGCTGACGCGGGATTCGCATTGATGAGCATCGCAGCGTACAGAATAACCCTCCGGAGCATGTGCTTTGACCAGAGCACCAGTTGTCGTAATCGGCTCATACGCGTGTATGGAAGGGACCGTGTGCTTACCACAGTGACAGCTGCCATGCATATCATCCCAAGTACATCGACCCGATGCTGATTCCTCCTGTTCGGGAACTGGGCCTAAATCCGAAGTAGTCCATCCTGCCTGCATCAATCCCTCTGAGATTCTCGCCGTCTACCGATCTAGACACGGGACTCCCACACCTGTGCCAATCGCGTTCACCGCGCTCTGTTTAGACTTCGCCATCATGACATCGCTGAGGTTCTGGTGTAGGTTTGATACCATCCCGACATGCTGTATGCAGTGTCCATCTTTCCTTAGGTTGTGCGACCAGGCAACCTTAATCTGAGATGGACCTACAGGACCCGTGCTTCTCGTACGAGTACGCCTTGGTCAAGAAGCATACCGATGACTCGGAAGCAGAGAGAGGGAAGTATAAGAAGATACCATGCGGAGGACGTTGGCATCGAGCTGCCTCTATTGACTGTTTCAGCAGAGTTCACGATGACCGCAGCTGATCCAACGTACCCTCTTTACCCTGTCGCCTGCATTCTGGCTTCTACAATGCTGCTCTTTGTACTGCTGACCAGCTTTGTCCGTCAAAGTTGGAACCTCGGCGTCGCTTTCTTGTGCTTCTGGCTCTTCATCGAGAATTTGATTTACGCTGTTAATGCCATCATCTGGTTTGATAACGCCGACGTCAAGCTTTATGCATACTGCGACCTTGGTTAGTCCATCCGTAACATGAGTATCTTGAGGGCAGGACGCAACGGCTCTGATCTTCAATCATAGTGACACGCGTACTGATTGTCACGTTTGTCGTGAAGCCTATGGCAACGTTGATCATTACGCGAAGACTGTACTTGATTACCAGTCGGCAATCTGTGAGACCGCCCAGTAAGGCCATTGTACGTCATATCCCTGTCTCACTATAACTTCCCTCGCGTTAAGCCATGTATCCCAGGGGCGCAGAGATTGTGCGATTGAATGGACGCTCGGGTTGGTTATCCCTATTCTCGTCGCAGGGCCTCTTTGTGAGTACCATCCATCGACTCGGGGTGAGATCGCATGCTAAAGTTCACAAGACTACGTAGTTCAATGGCTCAGATTTGAAGTGGATGCGGGCTATGGATGTCGCAACGCCCCTGAACCCTCGGGACTCACAATTCTACTGCTCTTGTCATGGGCGGTGGTACCTCCTCTGGTGTCCGTACTCGTATACTATCGTGCGTTGAGATTCTATCTCGCATGAAGCGACTGCTCGATCCGGCATCTGATATATGCACCTGTACTAGCTCATGTTGCCAGAATCTTCTACCATCAGCACCAGGACGTCAACCGCTTCCTGCGAAGCGACGGCCCCGATTCGGTATCCCGCGCGTCCTTCTTTCGGATCCTCGCGCTTGCGAGCATCGACACTCTTTTCACCTTGCCCGTAGGCATCGCGAGCATCACCTTGTCTGTGACAGCAGCCATAGCTCAGGACTCCTTCCCATTCTATTTTGGCTGGGCAAGAAGCCACACGGATTGGGAGCCCGCTAGTTTCACCCAAGCAGACATTGCCTCGGTGGGGACATCCAGTGTAGTCGAGCATTACTTCACTCAATGGACTTCCCCGGTCCTCGCGTTCGTCATCTTCGGCCTCTTCGGCTTCACCTCAGAAGCTCGCACATCGTACTGGAAAATTGTCTGCGCCATCTGCGGCTGGTTCGGCTGGAAGTCGGTGTCCCGTGCGCGCAGCGGCCCCGACTCGTCGCTGGGATCCATCGAGTTTGGTGCACGGGCTCCTCAGGGCTCCGTGTCATTCGGTCTTGGGTGCGTTGCCTCGCCCACTACGCAGACTCTACTGACAATGAAGAGCCAGATCACAACCGGGGATCGTCATCTCGAATGCGCATGCGCGAGAGATCGCCATAGAAGGCAGAGGAGAGAATGGAATGGGCGAGGTGAAAGGAGGCAGTCTGAATGAAGCTGTGGTAGAGGTAGCGCTTCAAGTACAAAAGGACCGATCGTACGTATCGCCTCCTCTACTGCATGTCGTTCAATTGGCTGAGGGTATCGAGCAGGTGTGTCACCCGTCCCGAGGAGGACCGGGAGAATGCTGAGGCGGAAGCACCCGCGGTGGACGCGACGAGTGCAGTGTAGGTGGTCCGGGGACTGCGTTCATTGTGCCCGGCAATGTGGGGATAGTCCATCCCAGGTTTATCTCCGTCACGGACCAAATGCATATGTATTGTCGCTATGATACTCACATGAGGTTCGAGCGTACTACTGATATCCAACAATTCAAAGCAGACCCTTCCCCTCCCCATAGAGATGCCGTACGTGGGTTTGGCGGAGCTGTACTTGGATATATAACGAGATTAGCCGGGCACCTGCGAGAGTTGATGACTGTCAGCGGACACGAATACGAAAGCACGGAGATACTATCGCCTGACAGCGACCACAAGAGTGTTCACGCTTGTCCTTCTAGTCAGGCCCATACGACGACGACGCTATCTTGCGGGTAAGCCAACGCGTAGGCAGTCGCGCAAACTGCATACCTGCAGTTATGATCGTCAGAACACATACGGATGCAAAGGGTTCTGGGACAAAATAGACGTACAACAGCACGTCCTCATACAGAGCACACGAAGTTGGCAGTGCGGTGGGAGGTAGTCCGTGGGCCGCGAGTTGCTGGGTTGACGTTTTGATTCGTGGGCTGCGCAGGTACGTAGGCGCCGTTGGTATCCCAACCTATTGAGACCTCTAGACAAATGACTGTGAGCGTGTCAGGCATGGACATCTCGTATGTGCATCCTTGGTCGACTCCAATGGCGACTACTGACGCTCCTTTGTCCGTGTGAGTACTCGACGTACTGCCTGCTGCCCGATTACATCAGATGCACCGCAAGTAAATGTGGCACACAAAGAAACTCGTACCTCTAGGGCGTTCTTATACAAGCCCAGTGTCGCTTGACCCGAACTTGACATTCGAACGCCATTCCCCTCACGCACTCCACAAGTTCTCCTTGTCCTCCCCGCGTCTATTCCCCATCCGGTGGGCCGACAGCCGGCTCGAAACGAGCTAGACTTAGAGATTCGAGATGCAGTTCAAGTAGGTGACAAGAGTCAGGGAGAGGCGCAAAAAGTGAGCGGGTGCTGTGGTGGTGGTGGTACATAGGTTGTAAGCAGGTAGGCGCGCGCCGCCGCGCCGCGCCGAAGATTGTACACCGCAATTCGGGCGAAATCTGACGCTGAGCCGAAGGGCACAGCTTGACCTCACGTATTTCTCCAGCTGGGGAGGAC